TGTAGGTAAATGAAATCATGGAAACACAAACTGCAGGCAAGAGGGGAGGAGTATCATATTAGAAAAAAAGGAAAAGTCTAAAATTAATAATGTAAGCTCCTACTTTATTTTTTTATTAATAAGTTCTTTTTTTTTTTTTCAACATTTATTTTTGGGACAGAGAGAGACAGAGCATGAACGGGGGAGGGCAGAGAGAGAGGGAGACACAGAATCAGAAACAGGCTCCAGGCTCTGAGCCATCAGCCCAGAGCCTGACGTGGGGCTCAAACTCACGGACCGCGAGATCGTGACCTGGCTGAAGTCGGACGCTTAACCGACTGCGCCACCCAGGCGCCCCTGTAAGCTCCTACTTTAAAAGCTTAGAAAAATATGAGCAAAATGAGCTCAAAGCAAATAGAAGAAAATAATAGGAGGAGAAACCAATCAAACAGAAAAATTGAAAACAGAAATATCAACGAAAAGAGTGTTGGTTCTTTGAAAAGATTAGTAAAATTGACAAGTCTTAAAAAAAGAGAAGACACAAATTACTAATATTAGGAAATGAAACAGGTATCACTACAGCCTTATAAACTACTACAAATACTACAAACAATGCTACACACATAAATTTGACCACTTAGATGAAATGGAGCAATTCCGTGAGAAGCACAAACTACTACATCTCACCCAACATGAAACTGATAAAAGTCCTATAACTTTATTAAAGAAATTGAATTCACAATTTTAAGACACAACAAAAAGAAATCTCCAAGCCCAGATGGTTTCACTGGAGAAAACTATAAAATATTTATAAAACAATTAACACCAGTTCTATATAATCTCTTCAGAACACAGAAGAGAGGCACTGTCCAATTCATTTTATGAAGCTAGTATTACCTTGACACCAAAACTAGACAAAGGATCACAGACTTAAATGTAAAACAGAACTATAAAATTTTTTTAAAAAACATGTCCCAACAACATCGAGAAATCGAACAGGATCTACCAATGTTCTCCTCCACACAGAGTCTCCTCCAATAACACTGAGATAATGAAAGAAATCATGCAAAATGGCCCAAGTTCAAGCCATAATGCAAGTCAATGAGGATTTCTTCCATTATAAGACAGGGACATACAGATATGTCACGAGAACAAATGAAGAATCAGAAAAATATCAAACCTTTCAGATACATGCTGTCAAACTCACTGGATAGGGAACACTGAAAGGAGCAGCACAAGGACAGAAAGAACAATCCTGGATTGCTGCCAATTCCTAGGGAAATTCATGGGGAGAGAATGGCTATTTCAGGATTCTTTGAGGAGTAAATGATCTGACATTGAGAAGGTGATTATTGCAGCTTGGGGCCAACTGACAAGTTCAGATGAACCATAACATATCATTTATTTTCCATAATGCCATGCATTTAAGTGATCCCTTAAATTGAAATTAAGCAATGTAAGGTTCTCGATGACAGTGGGATCTTTATCTCTTCACCTTCTTACTATAATGTGCCTCTCGTTTTCTTGTTTCACCCCAGGCTCCGTGCTTCTGCTTCCTTTATATCACTGAGCATATAAAAACACTAATAGAGAACAGCAAAGTAGCTAAATGCCTTTAAAGTTCTTTGGTTGTCTTTATTTTTCTTTCATGATAATGTCCTTTTTGACTTTGATAGTTCACAAAAAATGTGATAGCACGTCTTAAAAGTTCATAGCATTCCTTTGTAGAAATGAAGTAGTTTCTGTCTTTAACCAACAAGGATTTCAGACAAAAAAAAAAAAAAAGCTATGGAAACACCCATTTACCATCTTTATGATTTTTTTCAAATAATGCTTTCTTAATTCAGACCTCGCTTAAGATTTGCCAAAAGCAATGAAAATAGATTATTGTTTCTCTCAATAAGCTAACATTCTGGGTTTTTCTTCATTTGTCTTAACCTAACTTGCAATCTGAACTCAAAAAGAAAGTAACTCTCCACAGGAAATAACTATCATTTATGGTAGTTTTCTCTTTATACTGTGTAATGGTCTGTGCTGTAAAGAAGATGGTGTCCGGGAGGGAAAATTTCCCACTACCTTTCTTGGTTCTTTTGGTTTATGTAATAATTAACAAAGGACAGGTTTAAAAATAGAATACAAAAATCTGCAGGCTATAACACTAAGTCCAGGGTTCCTACACTGACAGCAAAAGCAATCCATAAAAGAAAAAAATTGATAAATTGGATTTCATCAGAATTAAAAACTTTTGTGGGGCGTCTGGGTGGCGCAGTCGGTTAAGCGTCCGACTTCAGCCAGGTCACGATCTCGCGGTCCGTGAGTTCGAGCCCCGCGTCGGGCTCTGGGCTGATGGCTCAGAGCCTGGAGCCTGTTTCCGATTCTGTGTCTCCCTCTTTCTCTGCCCCTCCCCTGTTCATGCTCTGTCTCTCTCTGTCCCCCCAAAAAATAAATAAATGTTGAAAAAAAAAGAATTAAAAACTTTTGCTTTCTGAAAGACTTAAATGAAAAGACAAGCTTTCACTTGTCCCATTATATGTGGGAGGAAAGATTTACATACTACTTATTACTACTTATCTGACAAGGACTCTGATCTAAAATACATAAAGAACTCTTGAAAATATCTCCAATTAGAAAATTGGACATGAAGAAACACTTTATCCAAAAGACAGCAAATAAGGGGCATCTGGGTGGCTCAGTAGGCTGAGCATCTGACTCTTGATATCAATTCAGGTCATGGTCTCACAGTTTGTGAATTCAAGTCCCACATCAGGCTCTGCCCTGACAGCACAGCACAGAGCCCGATTCTCTCTCATCCGCTCTCTGCCCCGCCCTGCTCACACACTCTGCCTTTCTCAAAATAAGTAAACTTAAAAAACAATTTTAAAAAATAGTTTAAAAATAAAGATGGCAAATAAACTCTTGAAAAGATGTTCAACATCGTTAGCCATTAAGGAAACACAAATTAAAAACCACAATATCACCACACAACTACTAGAATGGTAAGAAAAGAAAAAAGAATGATGACACTAAATACTGGCAAAGATACAGCTAGATAAGCTATACATTACTACTGGGATTGACAAATAGTATAGCCACTCTGGAAAATGGTTTGCCAGTTTCATAAAACATAAACACGCAACTATTTCATGACTGAGATGACCCAGCAACTGCACTCATGGGCATTTACCCCAGAGAAATAAAAACTTATGTTCATTCAAACTTCGGTACACAAATGTTTGTAGCAACTTTATTCGTAACAGCCCAAAACTGGAATCAATCCAGATGTTCCATTAATTGGTGCATGGTTAAACACAATGGTCCATCCATACCAAGGAATACTACCTCAGCTCTAAAATGACAGAAACTACAGGTATATACAACAATCTGGACAAATCACTAGAGAATTATGCTTGGTGAAAAAAGCCTGTCCCAAAAGGTTACATACTGTATGATTCAATTTGTATAACATTCTTGAAATGACAAAATTGTGAAAATGGAGAAAAGCTAAGTGCCTGCAACTGATTAAGGAGAGACTGGAGAGGGAAGGGAAGTGGGTGTAGCCACATGAGGGATAACTGCGATAGAGAAATGTTCTGTACCTCGACTTTTAGCAGTGTCAACATACTGGTTTTAATATTATACCAGTTTTGCAAGATGTTACCATTGGAGAAAATGGGGTACAGAGTACAGGAGATGTTTCTGTATTATTTCATACAACTGTATGTAATAATTATCTCAAAATAAAAAGCTCAATTAAAAAATAAAATGAACATCTTTAAAAGCTCTATACCTGCTAATCTGCAGTATATGGTCTGTGTTCATTTACCACTATGTCCTCACTTCTACTTGTCATTCAAATCATCCATAAGCAATGAATTTGCCAAAAGCAATGGAAATAGATTACTGCTTCTTGGATTACTTGATTCTTATTTTATGCAGCTAATACCACTCAAATGAAATTACTCTTGCTAAAGTCAATGATAATCTTCCAACTACAAAACAAAATTGAAACTTGCTAGTTTTTTGATTTACCTAGCCTCTAAGTATTTGACACTGATAATTAGTTTATTCCCCTTCCATGAAATTCTCCTACCTCTGCTGGTTGTCCTTGCTCCAGCATTCTCTTCTCTGAGAAGCCTTGCCAAACCTCTCTCATCCCACAGTGGCCTTCTGGATTTACTTAGTAAACTTTCTAATATCAACATCATTGATTTCCTTTTTAATCTCCTCTAGCACACCAAATATTCCTAGAAAGCAGTGTCTTAGTTTACCTCTGTATTTCTGAGGCCTAATAAGAATGAAGAGTTGGGGCGCCTGGGTGGCTCAGTCGGTTTAACGTCAGCTTGTGGGTTCGAGCCCCACGTCAGGCTCTGTGCTGACAGCTCGGAGCCTGGAGCCTGCTTCAGATTCTGCATCCCTCTCTCACTCTGCCCCTCCCCTGCTCATGCTTGCTCGCTCTCTCTCTCTCGATCTCAAGAATAAACAAACACTAAAAAAATTAAAAAAAAAAAAGGAATGAAGAGTTAAATATGCTGCATGACTTGTTTATTAGACTGAAAGTGTAGTCAATAATTTATTCAGGCTCTTTGAAATAAATGAAAGTACCTCTCTAACTCTTACACATTATGTCCTCTGAATCACACTCATCTTGACACAACTTTTAGGAAGCATTCTCCAGTGATTACACAAAGTCCCTAATGTGACCCACACTGATTCCTCTGCCCCAATAATATCATTTTAATTACTTATCTAAACATATTTATGATAGTTGCTTCTGGTTTCATATTAAGTTTCTGAAGGGCAGGCAATTCTATAACTCATAAGCACTTAAGACACAGTTATAGGTCTCTAGGAACTTTATAATACTGAGTGTTTAAAATAAACAGAAAAGAAGACTACTTGTGAAAAATAACTGGGTTAGTGACTAGAAATCAAATTAGGCTACTGAAAGAAAATATTGCAAATGTATCACCCTTTAAAATCATAAATACTGCATCTCAGCCCTGAGAGCCTTCCAGACTAACCTTCGTCTTGTTGAACACTCTTCTTCGTTGGCTACCCATCCAACATCAGCAAAAGACACCACTGCATCCTCTCCTGGATGGCTAGGGCTCCATTCTGTTGTAGGGCTGGTAAGCTATAAGTTATAAACAGGAAAGGTGTTTGTCACCAAAATGTTAGAATAAAACTTTTTAATCACCCAAAGGAAAATCATCAGCTCTGGTGTTACAAACACATGGACAGTTTCTAACATCTCCATTGAAGGTCCCCACAAAAGAGAACATCAGTTATGTTGTATCGTTGCCTAATAGGTTTATGACAATCTCTGAATTATAACTTAACTTTATTCAATTTTTATTTTACAGGTCAAATGAGATTGGCTTTAAAAACAAGCCAACAGGGGTACACGGGTGGCTCAGTGGGTTAAGCTTCCGACTTGTGATTCTGGCTCGGGTCATGATCTCATGGTTTGTGGGTTCGAGCCCAGCATGGGGCTCTGTGTTGACAGTGTGGAACTTGTTTGGGATTCCCTCTCTCTCCCTCTATGCCCCTCCCAGCTTGTGTGTGCATTCTCTCTTTCAAAATAAATGAACTAAAAACAAAAGTCTTAAAAAAAAAAAAAAAAGCCAACAAATACCTGTGTTCATCCTAAAATATTATGAAAATTTTTAGAATTTAAGCATTAAAAAAATCAATTTTTCTGAAGAGATTTAGTCAAAAAAAGTATAATAATAAGAACAAGCAAGCAATATATGTGCTAAATTTGGGAATATTTTTAAATGGATTCGTATATAGAGATGCTGTTAAAGTGCTGAAAATAACATTTTTAAAGATTTTTTTTTTAATGTTTACTTATTTCTGAGAGAGAGACAGAGCACGAGCAAGGGAGGGGCAGAGAGAGAGACACACAGAGTCCGAAGCAGGCTCCAGGCTCTGGGCTGTCAGCACAAAGCCCGACGCGGGGCTCGAACTCATGACCTATGAGATCATGACATGAGCTGAAGTCAGACATTTAACCAACTGAGCCACCCAGGTGCCCCTGAAAATACATTGTTTTAAATCATGATTTTTAAAGTATTAACTATATTAAAGAACAAAACAAATAGAATTGTCTAAAGTTTAACCACGTAAATGACAGAATATTCTGAAATACAAAGAAAAAGCATGCAAGTTCTGAAATTTACCTTGGAAAGTAGATGGAAAGATAATTAAATTAAAGTGTTGTTGTAAGTGTAATGCCTCAGAGACAGATGACCAATGACTAATGATTTTAAAATAAAGTTATCAGATTAATACTTCCTAAAAGTTAGTAACACTGAGGTTTAAGTAAAAAAGAAAATGCAGACTTTTTAAATGAAGAAAAAAGTTAAAAAGGCCAAAGAGATTTACTTATTGACATATTTATCAGAAAAGTTGTGCTGTAACTCATGCTTTGTTTGAACCTTCTCAATACTATCGTTGCCAGATCAGGCTTTTGAAGCTACACTTAAATAATGCTTCTTCCTCAACAGTAAAATATACCACGCAAACACATAATACTGAAACAGTTAAATGTCTTTAATATTATGAATAAAATTTTAATTGAACACACTGGCTACTCGTATGTACACCCATTCTGGTACCATAATTACCTAACATTATCAACTTAATAAAGCAGCATTAGAAAACTGACATTTTAATAACACACTAAGAATATCAAGTATTTAAAATGCCTTAAATTACAGCTTTTGGGCAGGACAAAGGTACAGTCAAGAGGGAAAACAGTTGTATTAAAGGAGTAAATATTTAAGAATCTAATCCCAGGCAAGAACAAAAAATAAACAAAAACTAATAATAGAATTAAGATGAAAAGCCTTTCAAAATACAAATGTTTTAGGGGCACCTGGGTTGTTCAGTTGATTAAACATCTGACTTCAGCTCAGGTCATGATCTCATGGTTCGTGGGTTCAAGCCCCACATTGGGCTCTGTGCTGACAGCTCTGGAGCCTGTTTGGATTCTGTGTCTCCCTCCCTCTCTGCCCCTACCTCGCTCATGCTCTGTCTCTCTCACAAATAAACAAAAAAATTTTTTTTAATACAAATGTTTTAAAGCATGTACTTGAATAACTGGCCATAAGAGAAGAAAAGTAAACACTTTAGGAAGTACATTACCAAGGGATACGATCAAAGAAAAATCGAAAGGATTTTTATACTTATCCCCCATTACATTTTAGATATTTATCCAAATAAGTCAATAAACACACAGATATTCAGTCAATGGATACCTTATACAACTTAAATTAACATAACTCAAATGGGCATCACATTTGATCTTAAGAGCCAGAGAAATCTGGCAATATTATTCCTATTCACTATTGAAAAGAGAATGATGGGGGTGCCCAGGTGACTCAGTAGGTTGAGAGTCCAACTTTGTTCAGCTCAGGTCATGATCTCGCAGTTTACGTGAGTTTGAGCCCCACACTGGGCTCACTACTGTTAGCCTGTCAGTGCAAAGCCTGCTTCAGATCCTCTCTCTGACCCTCCCCAACTTGTGCTTGCTCAAAAATAAATATTAAAAAAAAGAAAAGACAAAAGAAAACAGAATCATGTATTAACATTCCCATAACATTGTATTAGGGAGATTCCAAGTGGATTACATGGAGATACTTAAACAAAAAGGTCTCCAAGCCCTGTGGAAACTCCTAGAAGGAACACAGTATTTAATGGGCTATTCTGTACAAGTGAAAGATCATAAAAGTAAAACCTGAATGATGAAGACGCTAGTTCATGAAGATCAGTCTGTTTATAACTATTTTAGAAAATAAAATTGTAGGGGCACCTGGGTGGCTCAGTCGGTTAAGTGTATGACTCTCGATTTTAGCTCAGGTCATGATAATCTCATGCTCATGAGATCGAGCCCCATGTCAGGCTCCACCCCGGGAATGGAGCCTGCTTGGGATTCTCTCTCTCTCTCTCTCTCTCTCTCTCTCTCTCTCTCTCTCTCTGTCTCTCTCTGCCCCTCTCCCCTGCTCATGCTCTTAAACTAATTTTTAAAAATGATAGTAAATAAAATTTTATTTCAATAGTTACTAGTTTGTTGGAAGTGAGGTATATTTAAGACAAGTAAAATGAAATTTTGACCTCAAGACTTCTTACTTTCCCACAAAAGTTACAAAAATCAGTTTTCTTCCTAGATATTTTTGTTTATAAAAGGAGAAAAATGACACTTTTCTAAAAACAAATATTTAAAAACATAAATCAACCCATTTTTGACAGCTTTTCAGAGTGTTTTATAATGTAAAGATCAAACAATGTATCTAAATTTTACATCTGTAGTACCTTCAACATATTAAACATGAAATGTTGCTTTCTGCATAAACTTAAAAAAACAAAAATTTTCCATTGACTTAGTTTACAATCTTACTAAGAAATTATTCTAGGTAATCACCAAAATAATACCCTGTCTATATAACACATGTTCAATGAGATGAAAATATTGATACTGTCAAGAACCAATTCCAGAATTGATCATATCTGTATCATTACTAATGGACATCCTGCCCCACAGAACAGTCATCTTAATATTTAAGTCACATATCTACATAACAGTGATTTATGCCATTAAAAAAGAAACACAAAAAAAGGCTAACAAAGTCCCTGGGGAAACCAAACTCATCCAAAAAACAAAATAAAACTGAAAATACAGTAACACTAATCTTATTTTAAAGATTTAAAGTTGCTGCTGAGGGGCGCCTGGGTGGCTCGGTCGGTTAAGCGTCCGATGTCGGCTCAGGTCATGATCTCACGGTCCGTGAGTTTGAGCCCCGCGTCGGGCTCTGGGCTGACCGCTCAGAGCCTGGAGCCTGTTTCAGATTCTGTGTCTCACTCTCTCTCTGCCCCTCCCCTGTTCATGCTCTGTCTCTGTCTCAAAAACAAATAAACGTTAAAAAAAATAAAGTTGTTGCTGAAATGCGCACTGAGTAACAAGAATGGAATAGGAGGGGCGCCTGGTTGGCTCAGTCAGTTAAGCGTCCGACTTCAGCTCAGGTCATGATCCTGCGCTTCCTGGGTTCGAGCCCCGTGTCGAGCTCTGTGATGACAGCTCGGAGCCTGGACCCTGCTTCAGATTCTGATCTCTCTCTCCTCTCTCTGCCCCTCCCCAGCTTGCACTCTGTCTCCCAAAAATAAATAGATATTTTAAAAAATTTTAAATAAAAAAGAATGGAATAGTAAAGACAATTCACTTAATTAAGTACCAGTTAAGGTAACATCAGTGCAGGCAAGGGGGCTTGATGGCATGGAATTGTTGGAAGTACAATTTAGATGGCACTACTGACATGCATGGATGACCAATGGGAAGTTTGAAAAAGACAAAGCCAACTTACTGAAAGTTCCAGCAAGGTCCTGTCCTATCATAGCTATCGTTGTGACAGAGGAAAAAAAACAAAACAAAACACACAATGAAGAAAGAATAGAAAAAATTTTTTTTCCAAAATCAAGGGCATTATAAAATTTTAAATTAAAATTAGCATTTATTGATTTGTAAGTATCCAAATTCCTTCCAGAAAGTATGTAAAGTATTTCATTCAGAGCAAAAATTCAGTAGCAGCATTATTATTTTTACTGATCTTAAGTTTAATTCAACATCTGGTACAACTTAAATTACCCAAAATTCAATTATATTTCAAAAATTTACTACAGTAACTTTAGATAATTTTTAATATTATGATAATGTAAAACTATACCAACTATACCAGGACAAATGATTTAATAAAATGCATGAAAGAAAAATACACAGCTTGTATAAAAGTTGAAATACTTAGAATAAAATATTAGAAGAGCTAATTTTGTCCTAATGTGACTTTTCATAAAATAAATATACTGGTACTAGGAACCAGGATTCTCTCGGTTTCTTGCCAAAAAGGGTATAATAGTAAATAGATTCAGTCTATTTTCCACCATTTGTTTATATTCCAATGCAAAACATGTATTAAAAGCAGCACAGCAAAATAATAATCTTTAACTTTTTAAAATAAAAATCTCTACACTTTTACTAACAGATTTAATTCTTTTTCTACTAATTCTTGCCATAGTTAGAAAAACTGAAAGCAAAATTTCTATATTTTAATATAGTCACATACAGTGACACCAACAGGCCACACAATATACCTGTGTAAAGAACACTAAATCCAATATTCTGGCCAAGACTCAGCCACTCATGTTTCTGAGTAGAATGTCACTTTTTAAAAAGCGAGCATTTATTAAAGCTTTCTATTCATGCACCTAAATTGAGGCAGGGTAGGAAGAGAAGGTGAGAGGGAACAGGGACAGGAAAGACATCAGAGAGACAAAGGGAGAGAAATGTGTCTCTCTCTCAAAATAACCTAAGAAGGTAAGTAACAGGATCCCCTGGAAAAACTATTCTTTAAGAAATCAATTACTGAGAATGAATAAAACATCACAATCGTTCATTGTTTAGAGTTACGCTTCAAATTACAGTGCCACACTACCAAATTTATCAAACATAATACTGTATCTGCATCTCGTTCTTAATGGCCATTTGAGAGCGAAAATTACCAAGAAGTTTTAACATCACATAGAGTATGACATCACATGCTAGCATATTCCAGAATACTGAAGAGTAACTGAACAAAAAAAGTGTTAGGTTTAACAGTTAGTTTTAGTATTAATCCAGGCACTTACCTTCACATGGCTCAGACACCAAAGACCACCAGACCACATGAAGTCCCACCAGCCTTCTCTTAGCTCCTCAAACTATAACTTCTGTCTTGCCTGTTCCAGAACCTATGCACATATTCTCTCTTCCACCAACTCCACCCCTTACCCCAACTGTGAAGAGCTGGCTCCTTCTAATCTTTACCTGTCATTCCTCCAAAGGCGCCTTCCAGACAAACCACCAATTATTATCCTGCCCTCTGCTATACTATGTTTTCCTTCACAGCATTTAGTACAAATTATATGTCTATTAGAATATTTACTTGTTAAATATCTCTCCGACTGAATCAAATCCCAACAAGGACAGAGATCATGTCTTTTTGGTCCACCATTGATCAACAGCCCCTAGAATAATGTAGATTTCAAATTTATTTGCTAAATAAAGATGGACTGTGACAAGTGGCTATTTTACTTCCAGATTTCGTCACGGGGTGTGAACTTTAGTAGAATTTCATTCATTACTTGTTTGTTTACAGAACATTACCTCTACAGTTCCAACAACTCCTAGCAACCCCAGAAAACAGGAGTGGGCAGGGTTTCCACAAGGAAAAAAGGTGGTCCAGGTTAAATTACCCAGAAGTCTGTCAGTTACAAAAGCTGAAAGTCCAACTTCTATACCCACTGCCAAGTGGCCCACCCCACTTTTTCTGGTAGTACTCAAGATTACCTTTAATTTTTTTTGCCTTAAGGTTTTTTCATATGTAATATTTACCACCCCAAAAAGTTGCTTTTGGTTCCACATGTTTAACTCATTCAATTTAAAATTTATAAAAATGCACCCCCAAAGTGCTTTTGTAACGATTACTTTTGTAACTGTCAATAGATAATTCTGTTACTGCTTTAAGGAAAATTTTCCCTAGCAAAATGCTAAAATACAATATGTGCCTGAAGTTTTCAACCTCAGCTGCATAAGAAGCTCCTCATAAAACAAAACAAACAAAAAAACCCACAAATGTATGAAATTCTGATTTAGTGAGCTTTGAGTAGGACCTATATTCTTCAAAAGCTCTGTGTTTTTGCAGGGAAGGTGGGCATACAAAACTACTTTGCAAGATGGGGCCGGAGAATGAATATTTTTAAAGCTCCTGGTGATTTAAATATGCAAAAAGTATCGAGAACCACTGCAAATTATAACTTCTGCACCCCATTCCTCCCAATCTTCCAGAGTTCACTGCTTTCTCCAGTTCCTCCATGATCTGAATTTTCTTTTGGTTTCATGAAGCTGGAATAAGTACTAGGAGGAAAAAAAAAACAAAACAACAACCTACTTTCTCTTTGTCTTAATCTGGGTTCCTACCCCCAAAGGGGCTATAATATCCAAATATACAAAATGCTTATGGCCAGAAGTGTGTAATTATGACTCAAGGTTGAAATGTACATATCTGAAAGGTATAAAAAGGCCAAGGAAAGTTTATTTTTCTTCAATTAAAAGTAAATGTGAAGGGTCTACCAGAATAAAGTAAAAAGATTCTGCACAGCAAAAAGAAACAAACACAACTAAAAGGCAACTCACTGAATGGGAGAAGATTTGCAAATGACATGTCCAATAAAGGGCAATCAAAATACGTAAAGAGCTGATACAACTCAATAACCAAAAAACAAATAGTCTAATTAAAAATGGGCAGAAGATGGGCGCCTGGGTGGCTTAGTCAGTTAAGTGTCCGACTTCAGCTCAGGTCATGATCTCACGGTCCGTGAGTTCAAGCCCTGCATCGGGCTCTGTGCTGTCGGTTCGGAGCCTGGAGCTTGCTTTGGATTCTGTGTCTCCCTCTCTCTCTGCCTCTCCCCCACTCACACTATCAAAAAATGAATAAATGTTAAAAAAAAAATTTTTTTTTTAAATGGGCAGAAGATACAAACAGACATTTCTCCAAAGAAGATATACAGATGGCCAATAGACACATGCAAAGATGCTCAATATCACTCATCACCAGGGAAATGAAAATCAAAATTACAATGACGGGCACCTGGGTGGCTCAGCTGGGGTTAAGCGTCTGACTTTGGCTCAGGGGGTGTTAAGCGTCTGACTTTGGCTCAGGTCATGATCTCATTCGTTCGTGAGTTTGAGACCTTCATCGGACTCTGCACTGATGGCTCAGAGCCTGGAGCTTGCTTCAAATTGTGTGTCTACCTCTCTCTCTCTCTCTCTCTGCCCCTCCCCCGCTTGTGCACACACTCTCTCTCTCAAAAATAAATAAATATCAAAAAATATATAAAAAGCTTAATTTAAAATAACTAAATTATGAAGGGTCTAGAGATCTTGTTTTGAGTCTAAAGTAGCCAACTCATGTCTAGCACTCACAAAACGAAGGACTGGGAAAGGCTATGGGGTTACAGGCAAGTCTCCTTCAAGTAACAAAGCAAAGCAACGCTTTGTTTTTTACACTTATTACCATATTTTATTCCCAGCCCAAAATTTATTGTGCCCATTAACTGGATTAAGGTGTAAATAAATGTGTTGGTCTCTGTTCTGATTTGTGACTCTGTAAGTCTAATTTATAAAATCAGGAGGTGAATTATTTGAATAGCAAGCAAGTTAATTTGCTATTCAACTGTCAGGTGGCAATAATAATAATAAAATCACCACCACTAGCACGCTTTTTCTGTGCCCTAATTATGTACCAGTTATTATATTCCGAGCTTTACAAGGATTATCTTGTCTAACCCTCACGACAAAAAGTAATGCGCCCATCTTGCCTATCATTACTTGTCTACAAATATATGGGTCAGCTGGTAACAGTGAAAAGATGGTATGATCTGGAAGGAACTATACTGAACTTTAAGATTTCAGAGGTAAAATTGTTTTGAGGGTGACAGAGTCGAGGTGTTACCTATGGGTGTGGGAGGTAGAAAAGAAATGGAACTCAAAGTCAACAGGGATATAGGAAGTACAGAATATACATTGCTAAGTTTCAGACAAATCCTCCGAAAGACTGAAATCACCCAGAACGTCAGAGGGACTGGTTTTGACTACATAACTCCTGCTTCTGAATTGACCCAGGAATGCCCTATTCTCAAGTTTAATCCATTTCAATTTTTGTCTCCTGAATATGGCCCTAAAATGGTGTCTACTCTCCCGGGGTCCAACTGTGGTCCTCAGTTCCAGACTTTCTATAGAATTTACTCATGCTGGGCTCCTAGACAGTCCAAATATATTCCCTATCAAATCCTCAAATGAGCCAGAAAAATAGCAAAAATGCATTTTCAACTTTATTACTCTAAATTGCATGGTTTTTAAAATTCCACATTTTTACATTTCTGATAGATGTAGTTAAAAAATAATAGAGGATACAAAGGAATAATAGCAGATTTAAAATATCTAACTAGCACATAAAACACTCACTTTAATATTGACCTTGAATTTAAAAAGACTCAGTATGCTATAAAACCACCTGGAAGTTAAAATCTCATTATAAACAAATGTCTTCTGTCTTCCATTATATTCTCAAGTAGGTCACTAGTATTTCTCTGATCTTACTCTCCTATGTTTATCCACCTTTACTCAAATTCAGCTCCTGTACTAAATCTAGTATTCTTAATCCTACTCATACCCTTTAAGCGACTAATAACAATGAGAAAAAGAATCTCTCCAAGAAACTATACTTGGCTCTGGTATTTCAGCCCAGTAACTATCAAGGCAGATTTGGGTTGTTACTAAAAAATGCTAAATTATCTTCATCTCCTTCTATATATCTCTAGCTACATGAACACAAATGCTGTACCAAGTTCTCCTGCAACTAGGTTAAGTACACACATAAATGGACAAAAAGAAAATTTTAATAGAACTGAGCAATCAGAAAAAAGTTAATAAGCCTCAGTTAACACAACAGTTATGGTTCCTACAATTAATGCTAAGCTTTAAACCTAGGACGGAGAAAGCACCTTACAAGGCATCCACAGATACATCTAAAAATAAACTAGGGGAACAGAGTGGCTGTCCAGATAAGAAAGTATAATAACTAAAGAAAACAATGGTGGTACCTGAAGCCCCTCTCAAGTCACATAAGGCCATGCCCAAGGTCACCTGGGAATTAACAACTACTTTGCTTATGATATGCTTCTAAATCTTAGTATGTGTATTCTTAAGAAGGATAAATGTCTTAAAGAGCTTTAAAAAGCTTGAATAATCACTTCACAGAGGAAGTAAAATCAGAAAGACTTTACTATAGTTTTATTGTCTTTTATTGGTAGCAGCATCAATGGGGGAAAGGTTCTAAAATACTTTTAAAGCTGTCTTGCCTACTTGTATTTCTAATGCACATATTAATATAAAGTTTTGAAACATATAAAGTATAGTACCTGAAACTGAACTCTCGGACACTGGATCAGAGATAAATTAGTACCAATTTTCCTTACGATACTTCGAGATGAACCATATGGCTTCCCAGACCAAAGTACCTGAGGAAATAGGAAAAACCAAAGTTTAATTACAAAGGTAATAAAACTGTTACTACAAAGCACTGGACAGTTAATTTAACAAAATATTCACACATTAATTACAGAATCAGAATGCTTTAAATGTTATGGGAAATGAGCTAATATTTCTCAAGTAAAAGTTAAATATATATATATATATACATAGCTGGTTATAATTAACACAATAAGGTTTAATTTAAGGCATTATATAAAAAATACAGAAGAATAATAATTGTAAAACAGAATTACATTTGGAGTAAAAACTTCGCATTTTCACTATGTTTTCATACTATTCTGCAAAGGAAACTATTTTTATCATCTCTGCTATATTTTTTAAAGTTTTAGAATTTTAAATACATATACATTTTTTAAAACCATGAGTGTTTGTTATAATGGACTTTTCAAAACAAATCCAAATCAGTACAAAGTTCAGAATCTGAATTTGTACCATTCAGGGTGCTTCATTTTTTGCTACACAAGAATGTCTGGTCAAGGGGGAGTGTGGGTTAAAATTCAGCTACACTGCATCTTCTTGTGAGGCCTTATCCCCAGGGAAAAGGTGTCTTTTCCCAATTTACACAAAGGTACTAGGTGGGCTTGTAGTGAGTGACCCTAATGAGCAGAATTTCTCAAATGAAATCACAATACACTCAGGACATTATGCTATGCTTAATGCAAAAACAAAAACAAACTCCCAAAGCAGAAAGCAAACAAAAAAAAAACACACATATAGAATGTTAAATCATTATAAAGTACCTGGAAACTTCTCCCCAAGTATATGATTTTTCCTTAAAGAGAAAAACTATCCGTTTTGAGTGCTATACTTGAAAGCCTGGGCAGAGAGGCAAAGACAGGTGGTATGCTATTAAAAGCAATTTAAAAAGAAAAGAATGAGAATGATATGATCATTATACTTAATTCATTAAATTTTAACAATCATATCCTTAAACTAAATAATACCAAATCAGCTGGCATGTATTCTGAGCAACAGACACTGACCCCTTTTTAAAGTCACTCCATGGCCATTCTAATTTAAAGAATGGAATCACCTTAACATATGCAATATGACCAAGGAAGAAATAAAGTAAACAGCACTGGCTCCAACACATAACCCAAATTAGACATTTAAACCATTCTAAAAGCATGCACAACTTGCAAAATGAGCATAGAAGTAACCTGACTTCTTAGATTTTTAGCAACCAAATCCAATTACAGATAATAGTATGACTCAATGTGAGGATCGTGGGGGTATATATAATACCTCCAGAATATACCTCAGCTTTTATATAATTCACCACTAATATGTTCAGAGTTTCACTATCACCTGAGAGAGTTCCAGAAAGTATTAGAACCTACACTGGCTACCACAACCAGTAAAAACTGTTAACTCTTGCTTTGGAAATGTAAACTGAAAAGATGGCACAGACTGGAAAATAGGTCAGTAGAAAGATAAGACTAGATCGATATTGAAATATGAATATTAAATAAAGAATATAAGAGGCGAAGCTACTGTGAAGCTTAGAAGAGAATTACCTGTAATTCAGGAATCCGAATCATTCACACCAATGATCATACAGAGGATTATCATACGAATAGTGTTAATAACACAAGAGGACTAAGAGAAGAAAAATACCTGACTAGAGAAAAATGGGAAGCATCACAGTTTTACAAATTCAACATAAGAGGCCAAGGAAAAATAAGTTCATGGACAAGTAATTCTAAAACCATATTTAAGCAAACTCTACCTTATACATGTTCACAGGTCTTAATCTTATAAAAAGAAATCCACAGGGCAATAGCAACTATACCATTCAATCATTCTCCTCTTGAATCTTGTATTTAGTCACAGGTCAAAACTCTCCTATGATGCCAGAGCAGTGGAACACTATTTATGCATCACAACGTGACAATTACGAGTCTAAAGTTAACCTCCCATGCCTCCAGTAAGCAAGATCTTAACTGGAGATGAAGAGGACAAAAAGCTCACAAAGAAAAATTTGAAAAGGATTTGCCAAGGTCAGGGACTAATGTTTCTGCCAACTTTTAGCATTCCTTGCTATGCATGCTTCAGGGCTAAGTTTCAACTATTATCTTCCCATCTGCTTAATATCAGGAGGAAAGAATACCAGGTGACGTCTACAAGTGAAGGTGGCCAGAGATTCAGCTTTTACTTATAAGGACTAAGTAGACTACTCAGGATTTTTATACAAAGTTAAAGGAAATAAAAACAGATCGCTTTATGTGATTTTTTTCAAGTATATGCAGTAGACTAACAATGCTTTTCTGTTACCTGGGAATTGCATGGCACGTAGCACCAGAGATATGAAGAAAGGTCTATGTAAGCTAATGACTGGAATATTGAGAAAGAAGAAGAGTCATAAAACCTTTACTCAACTGTAGGAAAAAGTGAGGGGAAAGAGCAGCTAACTTTTAGGAACTCTAAAACTAGGTCCTACTTTATTTTTTCTATTCAGCCCTCATGGAGTGGGAGAAATTGTAAATGGCTGTGAAGAAATAATGAACAGATGGTACTGAAAAGTCACCATCTGTGCACTGGGAGACTGTAAGGCCCAAGTGTATCTCCTACCCTAACTGGTGGCTGAACTGTTGTCTTGTCAGTATACTGGAGAAGGGAAGACTTCCTCTAAAGATAAATTGCCATTAGTATTTTTTCAGATGTAAGAGAGGGGGAAGGAGAACACTGCCACTGCTAGATACTTTGATTTAAGAAATAAAAATTCAATTCCATTAGAAAATTATTAAATAGTTATTAAACAGAAAAGCTCTGCTTTGCTTTATTTATAATGACTACTGACAAATAATCTAATCATGAATCTGTGTGCATGTGTGTTTGCATGTCTGGGTCTAGTAATGACAGTCCATAACATTTAGCAACAGTGTTTGAAAGTGATGACAGCAAGGAGGAGGATGACAACAAGAAAGCAATTTGTTCTTTTTTAACATTGTGAAATGCTATTGTAGAAGTGTTGAAGTGTGAGCTTGGAATCTGAAGCTATCATCTGTCTCATCATGATGACTGTACTCAAATTTTATGTGGTAATTCATCTGTTATAGACTAGTTTAATCTATATTACTATTTGAGAGGTAGCATTTAGCAGAAAAAGTACAAATTTAATTCTAAACAAACAGATTTTTCTCAAGATAAGCTATTTCATATTAACACAAAGGTCATCATTCTGAGGGCCACATATCCCTGAAATTACATGCAAAATTTTGTGCATACACAGTATTTTTCTGGAAGAAAGTCTGTATCATTAATCAAAATTTCAAGTAGTCTAGGATGCAACACAGTACAAATCCTTAACTGCAAGGGAGCCAGTGGAAAATCCAAAGTGTGTATTGGGGAGAAGGGGTAGAGATAGGAAGATGAAACTCTATTAACAATTTCAAAATCCCCAATTAAAGATAAGACTTTCCTCAAGTCTCTTCTTCCTTACTCTAAACTCCTAGCCACATTCACCTTCTTCCTCCACAGCACAAAAGGAAAACAAGGTTATAATTCTTAAGTTATTACTGGAAATATATTACTAATGCAAATTAGTAATCTGCTAGAACTGTGGTTATACCTGTAAAACAAAAAATGTTTGGTGAACGTACACAATTTATGCAAAAGAACTAGGTATAGTGAACCAATCAGTGAGAGCTATTGCATACAGTGGTGCTGATATGTACAGTGAAATACAAAGAGCTAATCATCACCGGTTGTTCTAATGGCAAAAACAAATCCCTAATCTCAAAGCTTCTTTTTTTCTTTTTAAGAAGATAAAACATGTAAAGATGAAGGTAGTTTCTGCTCTTGGAATACTTTGATTAGTATCAAGTTCATTATCCAACCAATGGGAAAATATGTATTTATTACTAAAAGAGGGAACTAAAAAGTTTTATTTTCAGATGTCCAAAAGCAAAATCTTGGTAGACTATACACTTCCTTACACTTAGGCAGCACACTAAGAGGTCTTAGAAAGAAATAACTCCCAAGGATCAAACTGCTTTATGTTAGAAAAAAGACTTGTTTTTATATAGATTTTCAATTAACTCATTAAAGTTGATGATTATACACTACATACAAAAACAATTTTGGGGGTCTCCAGGGTGGCTCAGTCAGTTAAGCAACTGACTCTTGATTTCAGCTCAGGTCATGATCTCACGGTTTGTGAGATCAAGCCCCACATCGGGCTCTGCGCTCACAGCATAGAGCCTGCTAGGGACTGACTGACTCACTCTCTCTCTCTCAAAATAAACATTTAGAAAATAAAATCTTGTTCAGTTACTATTAATAGGAAGAGCCCTTAACTGTGATTACAATACAGGGAATAAGTTAATGTTCTGTTACCTGGTCCATTTGTTGATGAAAGGCACACATTTTACCCCTCAAATGAACAAAGCTAAATTAAACGAACAAGCTAAAGAAAGTGTGTTTGTTATCTGTTCCTGAAACTAAACACTTTGGCTTCATCAGCATTAGTCACATTCACCCTGACCTGGGCCAGGAATGGGGGTGAGTGACAGAGCAACAAAACTATGGAAAACTAACCATTACTGAATGTAGCTATAGTATGTACAAGCCACTGAAGTAGCTGTTTTACATACAGTCCTTTAATCCACAGGCTAACTCTACAGTAGTGGTTCCTATCTGTAATTTGTAGATGAAGAAAGTAACTGGCAGAGACCAATTTCAGACCCGGAGTTGTTTGAATCAAGGACCTATATCTTTCCTCTAAATTACACTTTTTAAAAAAATTATCATTTTTAAGTAATCTCTATGCCCAACGTGGTGCTTGAACTCATGACCCTGAGATCAAGAGCTGCATGCTCTTCTGACTGAGCCAGTCTGGCACCCCGCCACTAAACTGTAATTCTTACTAAAATTGGAAATAAATAAGAAACATAAATTATAAAGCGTGGCTTCTTGGGAATTATAAGTTACGAAAGCCTCCCATCTTTCTGAAAGCAACAGAAATTATTTTGCTGTCGGTACTGAAATGTTAATCTACTCTATACAGCCAAATGGTGGTAAATAACAAATGAGAAACACAGTATATAGCTACTTTAAGTGAAGTCCAAAACAGAGAAAGATGTAACTGAAAAAGATGAAAATAGTATTAACTTCACAAACCATTTTCCTACTGCTTATCCTCAAACTAATAATCTTAAAATTATGCAGATATTTAAAAAGGTATTTTTATTTGGTTCTTTGCTTTTTATCTCCAAAGAAAATAGATGTAATGTTGAGGGGTTGGGGGATTTAAAGTTTAACTTTCTCTTAATAAGACATGAGAAAACACAAAATAAAAACAGGAGCAAAAGTAGTGTATTAAAAAGTATACCCATAATCAATTTATGTAACCTGCCTATATCTTTAACAAACAAAATTTAATTTCACATTACAGATGAAAAACATTGAATTTGAAAATGAAAAACAAATATTCCACAAAATACATCTAGCAGAACTACTGCTCTAGTAACTTTACACTGGATCTAAAAATAAAAAATATGTATCAGTAGAAAACACTTCAAAAATCAAGATCAGAACTAACCTCTTTGGCATAGAATATTATACTAATTTTTTCTTCATATCTACAGTTGTTATATTTTCAGAGACATGACTTACCTTTTACTTTAAACAGTTGTATGATAAACCACATTATAACAGCATTCAATATTAATAATTCTACACACAACATTCAGGGTTGTCAAGTGTTAGCCAAACATATTTTATTCATTTATATATATATATGTATGTATGTATTTCTTTCCTCACTACTAACAAATGCATTGCCCTTAACAGTCACATGAATGTTGGTACATTTTCAATAAAATTTCAATAAAATTTTCATTTTAACCCAGAATGTTACTCTAGTACTTAGGATGCTAGGTAAAGATTCACTTCTATGACTAAAATAAACATATTGAATTTAAAATGTTGGTCATATATAGATTTATTTCACTTTCTCAGAAAAAAATCTTAAAACATACAAGTGTCTGGATTTTAAAAATTAATTTGGAGCACTCACCGATTGCATGCTTACTCCAACCTGTTGAAAAACCATCCTAATTAGGCGCTTAATCCAGCCAAGCATTTAGATGGCAAAGTCTCTCCAAATTTGCATTTCAAGTACTCCAGGCATACATAGCAGCACATGGTCCAATAAGCACACTAAAATTTTAAAATGCAAATACTAAAATGAAATAATTGTTATTTAGAATCTTTGCTGTCTGCAACATGTCTCACAAAGTCTAGTCTAAAACATTTTAAAACTTTGCATGTAGTTTACTTAAGAGAAAACAAATTTTGTTGTGATCAGCTTTAAATAAATAGTACAGTATTTTTTTAATGATTTTTTTTTTCCAGCCAGGTTTCTTAGTTGGAAGCAATAAAAACCCACTATGAGTAATTTAAGTAGAAAATATTTTTATGAAAAGATATATAGTAGATAATAATGTATATAACAGATAACTGATATATACGCTACACAGAGCCAGGAAAGACATCCAATACTGGGGCAGAATTGGTCCTGAGAAGACATCACTGCAACTGCTACTGCCCCCCCCCCCCCCCCCCCCGCCCTCCCAGAATAGAACAGTCTGCCAGTTCTCACTTTTCTGCCTCACTGGCTCCTGAGTTGCTGTCCATACTGATGGCATTTGCTTGGCCAAATCTACCTGACTATAGTTACAGATTCTGCCTCCTACCAAAGCCATAAAGGAATTCCAGAAATATGGAACAGGAATTCAGATGCTACAGGGTCAAAAATGACAAAAGTCCTTCCACACTTCTGGCACTATATAACCCCTGCCACTCACCTCCTTCTTCCCCATCAATATACTATATATCTGATAGAATTTTTCAGAGAGAGCATGGGAGTGGGTGAGAGGGGCAGAAGAAGAGAGAAAATCTTCAGCAGGCTCCACGCTGGCACAAGGCTTGATCCTACAACTCTGGGATCTTGACCTGAGTCAAAATCCAGAGTCTGATAATCAACTGACTGAACCACCCAGGTGCCCCTCTGTCTGATAGAATTAAATTGTTAAATCGTCATACAGCCTAAACCAGTCTGCTGAAAGTGTTGGTCTCCAGTGAAGCAGTTTGAACAAAACTATGTCAATGTACTGCTTCCTCATCAAAGCAGTCTTAATTAAAAACAAACAAAATGGCTGAACAAAACAGTTCGGTGTACTTATTATTACTAAGTACTTGGTATTACTAAGTAGACTTAGTAATATATTTGATTTACACTCTGATGCAAGCTCATCCCATTACAGACCACAAAAAGAGTTTATGGTCTACACTTTGAAAAAAACTTTATGAATAATTGGGGGAAGGGGAGATAAACGGTGCCACAAATATACCAGACATTGGGTGAAACATGAACTGAAAAGAGCCAGGTCCTAATGACAGATGAAAGTATGTAATAATTCTAAGCACTGGCAGAAATATATAATTTATTGATAACTGTGAAATGGTCATGACTAGAACTTTGGTGAGACAGAGACACAGATATATTTTAATGTTACCAATATCTATTACTGCTTGTAAGAATGCCATACTCTGAGAGTTAATGGGAAGAAAAACAGCAAAGGTCCAAAAATAATGTCAAAGCTGGGGGAAAAAAAAAAAACAACTACCTGGGAGAAAAAAAGATGGTTTTATGTCAGATTTGAAAACCTATCACTTTTATATATACATACGTATTTTTTTACCTTTTTTTTTAAGTAGGCCTCATGCCCAATGTGGGGTTTGAACTCACAACCCTGAGATGAAGAGTCACATGTTCTACCAACTAAGCCAGCCAGATGTCTCGAAGATGAAATTTTTTTAAGTTTTACTTATTGGGGCGTGTGGGTGGCTCAGTCAGTAAAGTGTCAGACTAGATTTCAGCTCAAGTCATGATCTCATAGCTCATGAGATTGAGCCTTGCTGTTAGCACAGAGCCTGCTTGGGGTTCTTCCTCTCCCTCTCTCTGTCCCTCCCAAGCTCACACACACATGCATCCACTCTCTCAAAGTAAACTTTTTAAAAATCCTATTAAAGTTTTATTTTTTTT